CACATTTTGTTCAAGAAGTCAAAAATCGAGAAAAAGAAAAAGCCTGCTAAGTCAAAAAACATGAAAACGTGTGACTTAGGCAAAATTAAGGCATCCCGCTGGACTATCAATTCAAAAAAATTAGTTCAGGCAAAATTAGGGAAAATAAAAATTGCAAAGAAAAGGACTGCAAAGAAAAGTCCTCAACAAAGAACAAATTGGTGATTACAAACACGAAGACATGAGGGCGATTTCTACTCCGAAAGCCTCGTCGTTTCCTTGACCGTCACAAAATCCTTTTGAGAGATGAACGCTCATGTTGAATTAACTAAACATAGGATTGGAGAACATCATGAAGGGGGTGGGCACCAAATATTTTGAGCCTTAAATCCTTTTTTCTAAAACCATGAACCAGACCACATTACAACCTTCAAAAGTCCTAATTGAAGCAAGGTTATTTTGAAAGCATACTTCAATGAGATAGTGTTCCTGACTCCCATGAATGTTCTAAATAGTTATGTTGGTATCATATGTTTTTCCTATACAAAAATAAATGGTGCTTTAACTCGCAAAATTTGTGCGATATCTTTCAAAATCTTCAAGACTTACATAACTGTTGCATTAGAATTTTCATTCTCGTTGTAAACTTTTTCTAACTGCAAAACATTTGTTTGATATCAAGGAAGCTCACATAAGCACCCGTGATGAGTTTATTCTTTTAAGGCCTGAAACCATGTTGAGAAATTGGCGGATCACGTCAAGAAAAATCATATGCAGGGGCATGTGACCTGAAGACCTTAAGCACGGACATGTTGCTTCTCCTAATTAATGCTTTCCCAACTTGTTTACTCTTTTGGGGCAAAATTTGAAGACTTTGTTGTGCCAACTACAGTCAATCCGGGGCAATCACGTCGAGATTTGATGAATTCCTCTAAGAGTTTGAAGACACCAGAGCATGGTGAATTCCAGGTCTTTTGTAAAATCCTCTTGAGACGATTTCTCCTCATCAACCAGATAGCTTGGGGCATGTTAGAAGTGAAGCTATTCGCAAGAATTGTCGTGCAACATGCAGCTCATTAGCAGTAAACGTGGGGAATCCAAAATGGGTCCCAGGGGCAATCTAGATTTATCAAGATATGTGATATGTATTGCACACATTATCAGAGGGTGGTGTTCCCAGTATCTCCAGCTAAGCATGACTTTTTCCAGCTGAAGCATTGTTCGTGTTGTTATCCTTTCAATGGATTGTCGACAATAGAAGACTAGACTTTGGGTTTTCTACCTGAAAATACCTTCCTCTCCAAAGAGATTTAAGCCTTGTAAAAAGACTTTGCTCCAATGATGGCTTTTGTTTTCTATCTCCAGTAATGTTACCATCCTGTTGAGATTAGCCGAGCGTCGGGTTGTACTGGGACGTCTTATCATCTTCTGTCTATCTCCCCTGTCTATTTTGTCAACATATACATGATATTCATTCATTCGTTCATACTTGCATCATGCACGCACATTTGTATGTTGATATCTTTGAGTTCGTATACCCTGGTTATGTCTATTCAAATAGCATATTTGATCTTTCCAAATAGAGTGTCAACTTAAGCAGAAAGTGCGCCTCTTTTCTAATTCCCCACTGAGTTAACTCTCGTGGAAGAACCTTGCTTTAGCTTTCCTTTTCCATCTATGGATAGGATAAACCCCCATTTGAGTTGTTTCCTCATTGGGTGGAGTCTTGTTTGACTATTTTCTCTCCAGTTTATTCCTGGATTGAGCTGTGTCTCTTGTGAACGATACCCTGTGAATATCTCTAGGCTGTGAAACCTAGATGGAAAGTGCATTTATTTTGCAATGTAAATACTTGGTCTCCTCAAGAAGGATTTACTCATGGTTCCCCATTGAAGATGAACTTTATTCCACAGTAGTGTTATCACAACCTTCGTCTGGAATATCGACATGACAACAAGCGACTGACTCTTTATTTGAGCAGTTTGATTATTTCTGATTTCTCTACGACAAATGGAGGTCTCTTCATGAGCAGTTTGTCCATCCTCGATGAAATTATTGATTCTCACCTCCAGCAATATCTTCACGATATTTTATGGGTATCTTTTTGGGAAACAGCAAGCGGCAGTCTCTTCATGAGGCAACTTGTGTGTTATGGATACTCTTGACAAACAGCAAGCGGAAGTCTCTTCATGAGGCAACTTGTGTGTTATGGATACTCTTGACAAATGGCAAGCGGCAGTCTCTTCATGAGCAACTTGTGTGTTATTGGTAATTTTGAAAAGAAACAGCAAGCGACAGTCTCTTCATGGACAACTTGTATGTTATCAACACTTTTAAAAACAACAAGCGGTAGTCTCTTCATGGACAACTTGTATGTTATTAACACTTTTTTTGAAAACGGCAAGTGGCAGCTTCTTCATTAGCAGCTTGTACGTTAGTATTTTTGGAAGACCGCAAGTGGCAGCTTATCTATTTGAGCAACTTGTGTGTTATTGTTCCCTTGAAGACAACAAGTGGCAGCTTCTTCATGAGCAGCTTGTGGGTTATTAGCAACAAGTGGTAGACTCTTCATGAGCAGCTTGTGTGCTTTGATATTCTTTGAAGACAACAAGTGGCAGCTTTATGAGCAGCTTGTGGGTTTTTGGCAACAAGTGGCGGACTCTTCATGAGCAGCTTGTGTGCTTTAATATTCTTTGAAGACAGCAGGTGGCGGTCTCTTCATGAGCAGCTTGTATGTTATTGACACCTTTGAAAGGAAGCAAGTGGCGGCCTCTTTATTTGAGCAGCTTGTGTATCCCCAACAATAATGTCTACTCAGCAAATGGCATCCCTTCGGAAAAGTCCCGTGGGGAAGTTTGTTATTTTATCCTTTTCAAGCGATATCTTGGTTAGAGAAGAAATGTGTCACCGTTCTTGGTAAAATTCAGAAATCAGAGATGTTTATCTCCAGCCACAGTGCTGATGTCAATCATTTTGTTTTCCAGCCACAGTGCTGATGTTAATCATTTTCCAGTCTCAGTACTGATGTCCATCATTTCCTTTTCTGGTCACAATACTGATGTAAATCATTACCTTTTCCAGTCCCAATACTGATGTAAATCATTCAAGAGTCTCTCATTTGAAGTCTATGACTTTGTTTCCCCAGTGGAGTTACAACCTCTTCCTCTGTGGGATTACTGTATAATGTGCTTGGTTTCTCTAGCATAGTCTGTCTCATATGGCGTCATTCCCCATAAAATTCAAAACATCACATTCATATCATATCGTAAACATAATCGCGGTATCTTAAGGCCAAAAATTGTGTATTCTATATTTAAGTCCCTTCAATCTCGTCGAAATGAAGATCCCAATCTTCATATCTCCAGATAAAAGAAACTTAAATAGGGGCAGCTGTTGTACCCCAATTTTTTACCTAAGATCCCATTTTTATTTTTGCATTTTTTCAAGATAAGTCAAGGTCACGAAATACGGTCGGTTTTAACGTCTCACCTTCGAGATTTGACTATGCAGAAATTGTCAAATATTTTGAACATTCTTAGCCTATGTATCACTAACTTCTAATCAAGCACGAAGTGTGTGTTTTTTGTTTCTTTGATTTCATTTGCAGGAAACAGATCTGAATCAAGAGCATCAGGCGTCATGCCTCGATTAGGGTTCAGAATCTCTCAAGCCAGAAGTACGGTTGATTGTGGATTCTCGAAGATTGATTCATCAAGGCACACCGTTGCACCCTTAATTTCGCCCCTAATTTTTTCAGTCGCACATTCGTACCATATTTTGTCATTTTGGTCACAATCATTAGTAAATATCTTCATTCATCATATTTTGCATCATTAGTCGTATTTAAGTTGACCAGAAAAAGTCAGTTTAAATCAAAGTTTGTATCGTCTTTCAATTGTAAAATACCCGGCATTTTGCTTCATGCATTTTTATCTATTTACTCATTTGTTGCATTGCTCCAAGTTGTTTATATGTCAATAATAAAAATATTTTGGTTTTATAGACAAACTGTTAAAAGCGATTCAACAATGTGCGAAAAAATTAGCGAGAAAAATATTTCAAGTTTTCACCTTTTACCGATCATTTTATGAATCTGCATCTCGCATAGATTATGACGGTATGCTCGCTTTATTTTTTCGATACAGTTTGAAGTCTCATTTTTAATCGTAAAACGTCTGTTTAGCCTGATATTTTTATTATTATTTTATTTTGATTTTTGACTTTTTGAATATTTTTTCTTTAATCTTTTTTACATGTAGTTTATTTTAATGTGTTCATATTAATTTTTCGGATAAATTTTCTTCCGTTTTTTTTATTGTTTTTAGTCATTTTGGGTCCTTATTGTTTATTCAGAAAAGATTCAAAAAAATTTATTTTAAATGGAGTTAATTTTAATATTCTTAGTCTTTTTGGTTATTTTTATCATTTAAGGGTTATTTGGTCACAAAAAATATTATTTACACTGTGCTTGGTTCTTATTGGCTGTTAGGAAAAATAGCGGATAGATGCAGATTTAATAATTTTGGACGGATGGGATTAAACCTGAAAACAATATTCTTCTTATTTAAGTAGCACCTTTATCACTTTGTAAAGGGAGAAAAAACAAAAACAACAACACAAAAGCAACAATAACTAACTCCCTCTTCTCTCTTCTTAACCAATTACCCTTATCCATTCAATCCACCCCTCTTCTCTTCTAAACGCGAACAACAAAAAACGCACAACATACCCTTCCTCACAAACCATTCTGCAAGCTTCCCTTGTTCTTCTTCACCGTATCTACCAATTTCCATCCTTTCTCCATTGTTAACACCCTTCCATCCCAATTTTCGCAAACTGCATCCCTTCGCAACACCCCTTTCATCAACCCAGCAATCGTTCCTGCTAGCATTTCCCTTCCGCTCATCAAACCTCCATCACCCCATTCCGTCAAAAACTCGTCGTCAATCCAGCCTTGACAACCTCATCCACATAACAATATCCAACTCTCTTCACCTTCATCAGAAAACCAGCCGCACTCCATGGCCACCGTCATAGAATGCATGGTCATCGTTCCTCACCCTTCTTCTATCACCCGGAGTTCTCTCAAGTTCTCACGTTACATGGCCCTAAAACTGAAGCCCAATCCCAAATTCAGGCCCATTTTCACTGCTTCGCCTGCTTTCAGAAACGCTACCCGCACTTCACGTGTAGTGTGCGAGGCCCAGGATACCGTTGTGGATGTGGCTCCTATAACGGAAGCAAATTGGCAATCACTTGTACTTGAATCTGATTCACCCGTTTTGGTTGAGTTCTGGGCTCCATGGTGTGGTCCCTGCAGAATGATCCACCCTATACTTATTGAACTAGCAAAACAATATGCTGGGAAACTCAAGTGTTACAAACTCAATACAGATGAGAGTCCTTCAACTGCTACCCGCTACGGAATTAGAAGTATCCCAACTGTTATGGTCTTTAAAGACGGTGAAAAGAAAGACACTGTTGTTGGAGCTGTGCCCAAGTCAACACTAACATCCACCATTCCAGCCTACCAATCAACCTTCATACCACCTCACAAACCCACCTGTCCCATCCTCCTCCTCCTTTATCCCAAATTTTCCGTTTTTTCTCCACCCATATCACTCGCTCACGTTTTCCTCTCCAAAACAAAAACTGTTCTTTCTCTCCTCTTCAATCTCCCCTATTCGATTCCTTCCATTTCCTCAAAATGGCCAAAGACCCAGTTCGTGTTCTCATCACCGGCGCCGCAGGACAAATTGCTGAGTCATTGAATGGAGTTAAGATGGAGTTGGTCGATGCCGCTTTTCCTCTTCTTAAAGGTGTTGTCGCTACAACGGATGTTGTCGAGGCATGCACTGGAGTCAATGTTGCTGTCATGGTTGGTGGATTCCCAAGAAAAGAAGGTATGGAGAGGAAGGATGTGATGTCTAAGAATGTATCTATTTACAAGTCTCAGGCTTCTGCCCTTGAAAAGCATGCTGCTGCCAAACTGCATGGAAAAAAATGAGGAAAAACTAATTTGATGGCTGTGTATGTAGTTGGATCTATTTTACACTGTTGAAGCTAATCTGACGGCTGTTATGTAAGTTGGATTTATATATTTCACTGTCATTGGTTGCTTGCTTTTGCATGTATATGCTTGAAGCTTTTACCTGTTCAAACTTAATGATACTGTTTGGTAAATAAAGTTGTATGTGAACTAACTTTTGACATCCAGGAAAAATATAAAACATATTAGTAAATCTTATATTTAGATTTAGTTTAGTATTAATTTAGAATTTTTTTTAATTAATTTAGATGTATTTTATAACTTTAGAATATTTAGAATCATAATTAATAACTTTAGAATTTTAATTTAATTAGATATAAATTAGTAATGTTAGAACCTTTAATTAGTTTAGGTATATTTTGATAACTTAAAAATTTTAATTTGTTTAGATCTATTTTATAACTTTAGAACTTCCGATTAGTTTAGATACATTTTGATAACTTTAGAATTTTAATTTAATCTTAGAATTTTAATCTTTAATTTAGAATTAATTTAGTTTTGATTTAAAGTTAGTAATTTTATTATCAATATAGTTTAGATTAAATTAGTAATTTTATAATGAATTTAGTTTATACTTAAACTAGTTTAGATGTAATTTAGCAACTTTAGGATTAATTTAGTTTAGACCTAATTCAGTAATATTAGAGTGTTAATTTATTTTAGAATTAATTTAATAACTTTCAAATTTTAGTTAGTAACTTTAGAGTTTTAATTTAGTTTTAGTTAGTAACTTCAAAATTTTCTTTAATTTAGTTAGACACTTTAGAATTTAAGTTTAATTTACTTAGTAACCTTATAATTTCAAATTAGTTTAGATAATTCCTTTAATTACACTTTTATTTTATTCATGATTCTTCTTTGTCCATTCATTTAGTTTCTTACAATTTATCTTGGTATTGTTCGTTTCTCGCGGATTTTGACTATTTATGATTTCTTACACGAATATTAGATCTAACCGCTTATGGTTAATTCCAAGGGAAATGTTTCAACTCATCTGACTTCATGTCATCAAATACATCTTCTACAATCGTGCGAATACCCTCATTCATTTTTTTGCTTGTTTACTATTTTGTTAAACTCAAGATAATTTTCCCAAAAGACTCCATTTTAAAACTCATACTTTTTTTAAACCAAAACTTCGACACTAGGTCGTCGGTTTTTCAAAATCTCGTCCATACCCATTTTTTGGCCAAACGAACCATTTCAATCAAACAAACAATTTAAACAAAAAAGCAGATATTTCAAAAGGTTCCTGCGGAGTACCGCAGATGCATTAGGTGCTAATACCTTCCCATTGTATAACCAACCCCCGAACTCTCGATCTCTTTTAAAAATGCATTGTATTTTCATTACTTCTAAATATTACTTTACATTGCACGTTTTAGGGTTTTATTTCGCTCTTTTCCCTTTTCCCTTGGAAATAATAAAGCACGGTGGCGACTCTTGCTTTTGCGAGTCAAGTTAATTAATAGCTTGATCTCCGATTTTCACCGCTACACTATGGCATTCTTTCTTTCGGCCTTCCTTTTGTTAACCGTATTCCAGGCTTGAATAAACTTGTTGAGAAACCCTTGGTCTTATATACCCATATTGTGGATGATAAATGGTCGGAGTTGTTCGTCCAAAGGTTTGTCTTCCAAAGGATACCCTAGCTGTCGTAGGGCTAAAGTAGGGTTGTAGTTAATACAACCTCGCGATCCAATCAAAGGGACATTAGGAAAGTCCGCACAGCTAATAGTGATGTCACCAATATCCAACTTCCTTGTATACCATAATATGGAGTTTCCAGTGAGAGATCTTAGTTTCTGTGGCCACTCACATATGGTCAATTCTGGGATCATATAGTCTTCCTTGTAAAGATCAGTCATGAACCAAGTATATAGAAGCAGGATGAAACAATTTAGCGTGCCTCTTCTCTTTTCATACATCATATGCAAAGTGTAATAAATGTCATCAAGCAAGGCGGGAGTTGGATCCGCATTAAAGACTTTCGCACCCCAAAATATGCTAATGGCCGCGGGGTCAATATAGTCCATAGTCCGAGGAAATAAAATTACACCAAATACCAACAACCCTAAAAAATCAACACAAGATTCCCACTCCTTATGATTAGCAAATTCTAGTGCCTTAGCTTCCAAGTATATCCTTTTGATTCCTTGTATTGGACCTTCTCTTTGGTAATTTTGCACCAATTCAGGGTAAGGGATCCCTAGGCCTTTTGCCAAAGCTTTGACTTCAACAGTTTGTCCAATACCTACATGGGCCTTTTCTTTGGAAAAATTCAGGATTCTGCCAAATTCTTCCAGAGCCGGTGTTAGTTGGAAGTCTTGAAGGTGAAACATCTCAATGGAGGGTCATAAAACTGAATTAGGGCGGAGACTACATCCATCTGAACCTCTACTTTAGTCAAGTCAAGGGTATCCCTATAGCAGCGAGTGTACATCTTTAGAGCTCTCTCAGATAGTTTACCCTTTATAGTTTTGATTTCAGAAAGGTCAGGCTTGCGGGCATTGACGCGGACAAGTTGTTTCCCTCTGGTATCCATTTTTAAGACAGTCACCAAAAATATTGATTTTGTTATCTTTTATTTTGTACCCTGTGAATAAGACAGATAAAAGAAAATAATGATGAACATGAGATGTATATGAATGCATGAATGTATAAGTGTTGGGTTGAGTAACAGGATTCTGTGACAGGTTTTTGTGATGGGTACCCCTATAATGTAGGCTCCTTAATTTTGACCTACGGTAAATTACCCTCCCAGGAAGTGGTTTCCTTAAGGGTACCATGAATAACACCCGAGGGAAAAGGCACAAGGGCCTCCCTTAGGTGGAGCCTCTTTACGGACTGAAACTTTCGTCTCAAAGTCGTGAAAGGTCTCGTCATGAGATTTTAGGTTAAGGTCTTTACAAAGAGTCATGGGTGACCTTCCAAAGTCCTACTCGTCAAGAGGATATCTCCCGATAAGTATTCCTTTTTCAGAAGTTCACCGACTCTAGGCGAAGTCGTCACATAAACTCGCAGGGATGATGTACCCCCTAAGCTAATAGATGAACCTTCTTTTTTAAGGTTTATTGAAAATATTTTTTGAAATAAAAACCCGCCACATAGCAAATATATGATGATAAGAGAATTTGACAGTAAATAAATGAATGCGATAAAATAGATAAATTCAATAAATAAATAAAGTAGATAAAAATAAGAAACCCCAAAAAATACCTAAACCTGGGGTTAAGGAGAATCCCCAGCAGAGTCGCCAGCTGTAGCAACTGGCTTTTAAATCAAGAGTCGCCACTATCAATTTTTATCCTAGGGAAAGGCATCTAATAGGACACCCTAATTCGCAGACAGAGATTCTAGGTTTTAGACTTCATTAGACGAAAGGAAGGTGTTAGGCACCTTTCATCTACCTTGCTCACAAGGATACTAGGTTTTAGGTTTAGGTTCGGGTAAAATAGTATTTTAAATTTTAATAAGGGGAAAGGGTTAAAATATTTTTATAGGGTAAAGGGTTTTAATTTTTAATAGAGGAATATATTTTATTTATTTATCTTTTATTAAAAAATAATAATAAACGATTTGAATATTAATCAAAATCCCAAGAAGACAAATGGGCCCAACTTTAATAAATAAACCGCAAGATAATGTTTAAACAAAATAGGCTAATAAGACATACACCCCCATTTCTTACCTAAACTAAAATGGGTCATCTCAATGTTTTCAACTTCTTTGGGTCTGTAACTTGAAATTACACCCTCTTTGCTATTCAAACCCCAAAAGAGGTGGGCCAAATGCAATGGGCTCGTTTATTGAAACTTCACCTCCCATTTTACTAACAACCACTTAAACGGGCTTGGATACTTAACTTTAAATTAATATAAAATTAAAGCTAAGTAGTTTTAGTAAACTAATAATTTATTAACTACTCAGACGATTTTTTATCTTCGAATTGCATGGGCCATTGGCCAACATGCCTCGCGAACGGGTTTATGAGTCTTTCCAATTTAGAAAGACCCATTAAAATACACCCTAGTCGTCTTATATGGAGATGGGCCATCAGATACTGCTGTACCATCTTTAATTAAATTTTTTTCTTTCTTAATTTCGAAAAATAAAAACATCGAGGTAGGACAAATTTGGGGTAGAAAACTACGGATGGAAAGGGTGCTAACACCATCCCTTTCCATAATTTACCCCCCTTACTCAGAAAACTCTCGAAAGGTCTTTTTCTGTTCTTTTCACTGTTTCCTTTGTTGGATAAAAGAAAAGTCGGTGGTGACTCTTGCTTACCGCAACATTTGCGAATATAAATACAAACCAATATAACAGTAGGTTCTGCCACCGTATCACAGAACATGCGACTCTGCTGGAGAATACAAAAAGTGGGGTTACCTTAGAGTTAGTTCATTATTTAACTACTTTGTGTGCTTTGATTGCTTTAATTTTAAGGGTATTATTTGGGTTACTATGGATCCTACACCGGGATCTGGGGAAACCTTTTAGGTAAGTAGCAATAGATCATGGAAACTGTGCGGGGTATATCGACACGATTGAAGCAATGGCTATGTTGATGCGACACTTTGGTGGGTACCGGTAGCCCTTGAGTTAATCAAGGAGAACACGGGGCCGCTGCGTGGTGTCATGAAATGTCAACTGACCTTAGAACCTTAATTGAACAACTTGGCTATTAGGACGTAGTGAGATAGCCGTCTTTGGTGTATCCCCAAATTTAGTTGATACTCGATACTACACTCATTGAGATTTCACTCCCGAGTTTTGTTTGGTGGCAAGTTAGTTGTCTATCAGAACGAAAGTTGTGGGAAAGATCAATGATATTGAGATCCCTTAGAACCCGATTACTATTTATAGGACAAGTTGAACCAATCAAACTTCAAGAGGGTATTACCTTAAAACCCATGCAAGCCTTAAACCTAAGGTATTTGTGTGATTTGCCGGTG